TATATATAATTTTGAAAATCAATTTGACAGTGCTCAACAAAAGTCTACTAGGGATGGACACATCAACAAAATTTTATATGTAAAGTGAAACAGAAAATAAGAGTCACAAGATTTTGTACTTTCTAAACATGTACTGTTGGTGCAGTGTTWTACAGAAACTTTTTGTAAAATGGAATTACACTGTTAAATCTTTGGAAACTCAGTTACTGTATTAGGCTTGTTCAAATGAGCTTGGAATTCCTTGTCATAATATTTCTTTATTGTCCTCTTCAAACTACTTCTCTGCAATTTGGGGTGGAGTTTAGCTGTAGTCTTTTTTCAGCTATTAAAACATTAAAAAAGGACATTAAATACAATTTGAAAATTTGAAATTTTTGAAAAAAGTACAAGATSTCCCCCCTTTTGCTCCAAAAAGCTTTGCTCGTTTCGTTGACTTTGCACCAAGCTTAGCATTTTTAATGCTTTGGAGGACATTAGTGAGCTTCTTCACCGTGGCTGACCTATTTTACAATTTTTTTGCTGTCTGTGTGGAGAGGAGAGCCCACCTGGCGTAACCAGGTAACCACAGGTACAATGCGTAGCAGCAGCCAAAGTACCTCAGAAACTTTACTCGCCCAAATGAGCAAATTCTGGGAGATTCCACTTTTTCACTGGATTCCATTTTGTTTGTTAAATTCTGCGATTTCTTACGAGTTTTCCACATCTCGTTAATCACAGGGCCCTAAAAATAGAAAATGCTCAGATAATTGAAAGACTTTTGCAGGCATGTGTCTGTKTTGGTTGGGATTGCCTTCATGTGGAACACATGGCTTGTATGAACAAGTGTTTTGTTTTGTTTTTTTGTTTTTTTACTTTATTCTGTTTGTTGCCACAAATGGCAGAAAGTGTGTTTCAGAGAAAAAATAAAAATGAAATCATTAAACCTATTTTCAGCATGTTTCTAGTATTTGTTTTAAATCGAAACGCAGTAATGTGAGTAAAAAAATCAAGGGTATTTTTGTTTACTTGTTTTGTAGACACATTTCTCTTCCTTGTTGTTGGCAGCTGCAGCAAAATAAGGTGAATTTTACATGAAGATTGGTGTGAGCTGATTTGAATGACCTGTTGTACCCAAAGCCACAATGTTCTGTCGATGATTTGGCGACATTGCTGCATACATGAAAATGTAATATATATGTTAATAGGGGAATCTTATTTTTACACAGTACATATTCAGCTATTTGTCAGAAATGGTCCAAAACAACTTGATAAGTCCAAAATGTTTGACATACTTCTAAGCTTGTTTTCTACAAATACTTTTCTAGCTATCATTTGAATATTTTAATATGTACTTTTAAACGTATTCATCTTACACATGCTATGTATACATTTAACTCCAAATTGATAAAGTGAAATTGATCCCGTTTGGTGCATATCTCTAGTCAGCAGACTCTGGATAATATTGCAGTGAGGCTCAAAGCCCTCAATTCTTTGCCCTGCAAAGAGGGAATAAGAAAAAGGGGGAAAGAGAGGATAGGTAAACAGAGCCATTAGAGACAAATCTATTTCTGAAGAAAACAAAATCACATCATCAAACAAGAGAAAAAGAAAAATATGACCCTACAGCCCTTTGGGCCTTGGCGTTCCAGTGATAGCAGACTATGGCATTTGTCTTTATCAGTCTGCCTTAAGGGAGGGAGAGTATGGTGAGAAGATGTGAGAGAAGAGCGAATGAGAAAGACCGTGAAAACAAAGTGCTCGAAACCTTCCTTACTCATCACAAAAAGCCAAACATATCCGTTATTTTTCGGAATTTAAGGATGTTAAAGGTTTGTATAAGATTACTGCTATTTCTTACATGTTTCTTTCTTTGTTGCCAGTGGGTTTTGAATGGTCATTTTTTAAATATAGCATAGTGGAGCGCTCCGTGGGCAGAGAGCCTCAGTGTCATCAGTCATGACTACCCTGGGGAGGCTTACACAGCTTCATCAAAATGACAAGATTGACTTTCCAGATTTTATCCTTTCGCTGTGACATTTTGTTGTTTATCCACTTTTACAAAAGCAGCACCAACAAGAGAATTTTTAAAAGACATATGCGTATTTAACTAAACCAGAATATGATCACCTTTAAACTGGAATGATAAAATCACTGTTTATGCTAATTGTAATTTACTTTGCTGTTAGTTCTTGCAACAGTTTTTTATGCAGTATACAGTAGCTATATTTACATGGACATAAATATTTGGAATAAATGGCCAATCAGAATAAAATGTTATGTAAACGCCCCAACTGGAATATTTTGACCTGATTCAGCTCAACCGGAATTAATCTGTAATCTGAATAAGAGAGGTGGTTTATGCCAATTGATAATCCAAATGGGGTGCATGTAAACACTTATTCTGATCTTGTTATTCTGATTGTGGGAAACTGACCTGACTACATGTGAGTTCTATGTAAATCTGATGTACTTCCACATGGCTAGATGCTAATAGTTAGGGAAGCAAATGGGGTCAATTAGCAATACATTTCTATTAGAAACTTTGAAAGAGTTCAAAATTATTGAATGTCTTGATGGTCGAAAGTACATGAACACGGAATGCAATAATGTCTCCACCGTTAATAAAATCTGACTTGTGTTCATCCTGGGTTCTCAGAAGATGTTTATGTTCATCACAGAACTTCTGTGGGTTTTTAGAGAAAGTTTGCAACTCTGTACACGTCAGTACTTCTACTCTGAATAAAGACTTAGTGCATGTAAACACTCATCATGATTGTATTAGTTCATTTTGTGCCCATATAAATGATGCTTGGATTATTTAATCCAAATACATTTGAATCCAGTTAAAGAATTTTGCCCATGTAAACTTAGCTACTGATTAGATTTCAACTTACAGTTCTGCTTTACATRGTTAAGTCAGGTAGATCTCAACAGTTCTGTGTCTGACTTATTAATGCTTTAGAAAGTTACATATGGGCATTAACATTGCCTCTCAATGTGATTTACCTGCATATTCACAGTAAAGATGCTCATATTAAATCAGTGCGATTACTATATAGCAATCCTTTTTAACTTGATCGCAAGCTGACATTGACATATTTTGCAGTTTGTTGTCCTCACACCCAAGTTGCAAAAGTGTAAAAATTTAATTTGAAGGTGGCATTTCAGTAGAAATTAAAGAATTAATGTGTGCTGAGTTTAAAAGCAATACACTGAATCATTCCTGAGAAAAGTCAGGGGTAATCCACCTGCTCCCAAGAGTCATTAGGATTCATTGTCAGGGAATCAGARATGTCATGGCAGTTCTTCTAATAGCTGCTGAAAAGTGGACCAATGGGCTGACCAAATTATATTGCCATCCCCAAAAGCCTTAACTCTTTTTTTTCTCCGTATTAGGTGTATTTGCTTTGTAGCAAAATGAACTGATTTTCTATCTAGGAAAGGGAAATTCATTTTGTCTGGGTTGTAATATAGTCTGTCCTCTGTCATACCTGATGCCAAGTCCTTACAAATGTTTTATCATTATATCTCTTCAATGCCATTCATTTTTCTTCTTTTTTTTCCTGCTCAGAGCGAGCTGTCGCTGAAAAAGAATGGCATGTGCTACAGCCCAGCTTATAGCTATTTAGTGGCTCAGCTTTTTTATACTTTTCTTTTCTTTTCTTTTCTTTTTCTTTTCTTTTCCCTCTGTTCAGTTTGAATACCCCAGGGAAATTTGGCTGTGTCTGATATTTTTTTTGTTTTGCTGACCAGGTTTTATTCCCCTTCATCAGTTTGCCAGGATACTTTTACCAACTCAGACAGTTAATTGTCTGCAAAGTAATTAGAATGCATTCTCAGTGTTATCTTATAACATAAAAGTTATAAAAGTTTAGAAACGTTTACAGATTATTTTTGGATTTGTCCAACCACACAAAAAAAGTGAACAAGGGAAATTCTCAACATTTTGAGAATTAAAAATTAAAAATATTTTGTAAAACATACAAATATGTTTTGATTATTTYGTGTTTCCCAATGTCCAAGTAGTTATTTTGCTGCCAGGATACCAACCAGTATTGGGAATATGAAGGAACTAGAGATTATTAAAGAAACAAAATTAATAATAATAAAAAAAAAGCATCAGAACTTGTGACATCTGAGCAATGTGTAGCAGAAGGCAGAGAGGTGTGATAGTGCCAGCGTCCTGTGAAAGCTATGCCAATTCTTTCTGAGTGAAATGACAACACAGTCTTGCTTGTGAAACTACTAAGCTATCTGCCATCTGGACACAATTGCAGGACTCAAAAGTCTTAATTGGACACTAGTAAAGAAGCCCATGCTGTGTTCACATTAAACAAGGTACACACTCATTTGTGTTTTCTCTGGCATTTGCAGTGTTTCCGAAACTAAGCCTAATAAGGAGTAAACATGTAATTGCTGACAGTGATAGCAATAGGCATTACGCCACACATTGGTGTTGGTCGTTCTGAAAAAAAAAAAAAAATGATTGTCATTTTCATGAAGAGAAATTGTAATTACAAAAATGTGAATTGGCAGACTAATGGTGATTAAAGCTGTAGTGACAGCTGCACACTTATTTTAGCAGTATAAGGCTGAATAATGAGGTTTTATTTTCTTTGCCTGTTTCTCCCTCCCTGCCCTCTCTGCTATAGGTCAGAACATTGCATTCCCCCCAGTGGCTCTCTGGGTAACCATTGGCCTGTCAGTGTGTCTGCTGGTGCTACTCATTGCTTTGGCTGCTGTTTGCCGCAGGAAGATCAAGGAGAGCTGCGAGGAGGCCAGGAGAGAAGGTAGGGTGGAAAAGGAGGTGCATATTTAACCCTACTATTTTCCCATTGTTCACTGGTCATGATCATACTGCAAATTGGTATTCATGCTTTAGAGTTGTTTAGATAGTATTTTGAGGGTCTGTCTTGCCTTCATTAGCAGCAAATATAAACTCTGAATATCAGATTAGAGGTAACTGCAAGGCTTTCCACACACACACACACACACACACACACACACACACACACACACACACACACACACACACACACATAAACAAAAACACAAAATGAAGAAATAAAATGGAATGTCCTTTTTTTCTGTTATTTGTTGGCTGACTACAGAGACAGTTGAATGACTTTGTAAATAATATACTTAAACTTATAATTATTTCAGACACTTTCCATCTTTTCCCTTGGCATTAATTAAAATACAGGATGATTCCCAAAACTTTTCACTAAAAAGCTCAATAAATAAAATGCAACATCATATATGCAGCATCACAACAGTGTTAAGTTTCACTGCAAAATTCATAAACATTATAATGATTGCTGATTAGTTTCAGTTCTTGTTTATTCTGTATTATTGCCTTTTAAGGAGTGTTTCAGACATATTTTAACACTAGTGTCCATAAATAGCATGGAAATGAAAATGTTGCCTACTTTTATTTTGACATTACTGTCACATCAAAAATCACTTTATTTTCTTAGAAAAAAAATGCACATCACAATGATGACGCATGTCCAGTGGTGGGCAAAGTACTCAACTCTAGTACTTGAGTAAAAGTATTGATACTCATGGTCAAATCTACTCCACTACAAGTAAAAGTTACTCAGTCAAAAATCTACTCAAGTAAAAGTACTGAAG